ACTAATGGGACGCTCTGTATAAGGTTAACATACAATTGAAAACCTCTGTTTTGATGAATTATTTTGTCGGGCACATATGATGTGTGGCGCTTTTGTCGTAGGCGCTTATGTCGGGAAGCGCATTTGTCAGGGCGCTTTGGTCGGGGCGCCTTTCACGGGTCATCAAAAAAGTCACCACACAGAGCACAATCTAATGTTTTGGCTCCAAGTTTTGTAACTCTATCCCATTTAAAATTAAAAATACAGTCAAACTAAAATTTAAATAATTATAAAAAATTATCCAGTGTAAAGGTAAAGGAGACACTTTTATTAAAATATTAAACTGCGAATAAAGAAAAATATATGGATACTTTTTATCATAAAATTCCTGATATTTTCCCTTTTTTCCCATCTATTATTTATTTTCTCTATTTTTGGTATTAATCCTTGTCATAAAAGATTAAATAATCTGTTTTATTTTTATTTATATTTTGCTCGCCAATACTATTTATTTGAGTACATACTATTAGTATGAGAGCCCACTGCAAATTTCGACCGTCATCTGATAACCAAATGAAATATGCTCCAAAGGCATGTAACAACATTGTACTTTACCAAATTGCACCTGTACAAATCCCTATCCTGAGCAAAGTGGTTAAAAAAAATTATTTTATATTCAAAAAATCACATAAGACATGACAGCGACAATTGCGTTTTCCCTGAAAATTACAATCCTAATTTATTGTGAACCTAGCTTTTAAACCTGAATTATTAATATTTTTACCTACCTTTTAAACCATGTTTATGTGTGAAAGGAAGAAGGATGGCATTGTATAGACCATTTGCAGAGATAGTTAATAATAATTATAAACTCTTGTTAGACAATTCTTTTAAACCATAGTCATAGGAGTTTTTTGTCGTTTCTATGGCAACCTGTAAAAATGAATCACAACAATAGGCATACAAATAAATTTTTAAATCAGCAAAAATTGATTCATATTTTTAATGATTTTTACCAACTAATCGTGGATAGATGTTTTTGTGCGATGTTAAGAGGAAGAAAATGTTTCCCTTTAACGATATATATCGAGATATTTTTGAATGTTATTTTCTGGAAAACTTTAAGGGCAAACAAAATTAGCACTGTCATGCCTTATGTGATTTTTTTAAAATAAAATAATTTTTTTAAGCCACTTTGCTCAGGATTGGGATTGGCACAGGTGCCATTTCTTAAAGTACAATGTTTTTACATGCTTTTGGGGTATATTTCATTTCGTTATCAGATGACGGTAAAAATTTGCAGTGGGCTCTTGGGCTATATGCAGTTAGGGAAGGCATGTTAGAACTGAGTGTTCATCTTATAAATGTAAAAAATTATTTGTAAAAAAAATAATGTACACTTGAATCCAAATATTTTTACATGAGCATTCTTAAGAGGTAAAAGGGCAAAATATTCTTACTTGGGTAGGCGTTATGAATAGTAGGACAGAATATTTTGACATGGACAGACTTAAAGGGTAAATGATCCAAATATTTTTACATGGCAGGTTTAAGGTGTACAGGTCCCAATATGTTTACATAAATTGTTCAAACAATTTCCAAACTAGACATGGAATGATTCTTAAAAACCTGGGCTGGCAGTGTGAAGAATGTTTACATGGTTTATCCAAAGTAACGCCAATGCTTCACAAACACAAAAATTCAAGGTCTCAATCAGTGGCGGTTTGCCCGTAAGGGCACTTGGGCACGTGTCCTAGTATAATAAAAAAAAAAACAAAAAATAACTTACATATTTTATATTTTCCTTAATGCATTTTATTATTTTATCTAATATTCAGCGCAAACCGCGTTGGAACGACACTGGGCGACCGGGCGTTGAACGACGTTCCGAAGATGGGCACAGGGGCACAGTAAATGTGTGCCTCTGTTGTTTTATCTCTCATTATGATGCGAAAAACAAGGACAACGACAATATCGCTTAGCAAGAGATGAACACATGCGATGGATTATACGTCACAAGCAGGGCGCTGTCCCAGATTAACCTACACCAGATACGAATGTACGCGGCGGCAATAGCCTAGAGAGAGCTCCCACCACTTTCTTCCTAGATCCAGCTGAATAAATAGTACGGACGATTGCGTTGGCTCCAGTTTCAGCAGAGCTTGCGACCGTTGAACGTTTAGGCCGACTGCCTAGGTTACAAAACATCGCCGAACTTGTGAATTTGTGAAATTTATTATGACGGGATATAAATTTGTAGATGGTGTACATCTGAAAATAGAGATGGGACAAAATTTTAATTTTTCTTTTGGTTTTGTCTGACTTTTTCGAGGATTTCAAATCTCTGTTTGCATATTTAAGAGTATAAAAAATTCTGAGTCTTATAAATAATTTAATGGTGTACATTTTCGCAAATTGTTGGCAAGGATGACCAAAATCTATTTTGCTCATCTCAAAAAGGTATGCGTTAGAAATTCCAGGCTTAGTTGACAAACTATCCAATAGAGATAAAAATATATTTTCTAATTTAAAAATATAAAAGAAAAATTTTTCGCTGGGAGATTTTAAATTGCCAAACACCTTTTCTTCAGAGTCGTATGCTTTAAAATGCGTTATCAAGTTAGAATTGTTAATTAAATTGCATTCTTCTGAGAAATTTACGCAAATTTCGCAAGAGTGGGTAGATAATGATTTTTTGATTAAATAGCCACATACGAGTACATAGTTAAATGCATTTTGAGTGGTCACATTTAGCTCCCTGTAGTCACATTCAGAAATCGTTATTGCCCCAACTGATTATTTTGAAATATATTTAATTTTCATTAAGCGGAGAACTTGTTTACCCAAGGGAAAAACGAATCCCAGGATTCCTTTCCAGTGTGTGCCCCACTGCCGCTAGTGTCCACGAGCCGCCACTGGCCTCAATAGTTCTTATCTTTCATCCAAAATCAAATCGTTTCTAGTTTCTTTAATGCTCGTGGGACCTTAGTCTCGATAAAGTGCGAATTTAATTAATTTGCTAATGTAATGGATATTATTTTAAAAAGGGTGTTTTAATTAAAAAATCCTAACTTTGGATACGTCACGAGTTTTCAGAACATCTTGCATATTTCACACAAATTGGCTGCATGTTAACATTAATTAAAAACGTTGAATATCATCATCGTGGACTACCTTGCATTTATCCATAACTAGCTGTGGCCCGCGGCTTTGCTCGCGACTTTGCTCGCATGTAGTCGTGTTATTAATATAAAAAAATACATGACTTCCTTTTTTTATTAATTTTTATTTTTACTCATTTTTATTCATTTTTATTAACTTTTATTCATTTTTATTCATTTTTATTCATTTTTATTCATTTTTATTCATTTTTATTCATTTTTATTCATTTTTATTCATTTTATTCATTTTTATTCATTTTTATTCATTTTTATTCATTTTTATTCATTTATATTCATTTTTATTTATTTTTATTCATTTATATTCATTTTTATTCATTTTTATTCATTTTTATTCATTTTTATTCATTTTTATTAATTTATATTCATTTTTATTTATTTGTATTCATTTTTATTTATGCTACAATTATAATTTTCAAGTTCCAACGTTCAAAAATTTATACTTCTATACAAATTTTCACCCCCGTTTTCCCCCCTTAAAATGTGAAAATCCAAAACCATGAAACATCATTTTTGATTTTTAATCAGTAGCTGTAACTTAAATTTTTATGTTTCAAACTTTAAATAACAAAAAAATATATACATACTATTAAACAAATTTTCACCCCCCATTTACCTCCTTAAAATGTTAAAATACAAAAACCCTGAAATACTTCATTATTTATTTATTATGAGAACCTATAATTCCAATTTTCAAGTTCCTACTTTTGAAAAAAATCGGTATTTCCAAATAAACTTTCACCCCCCGTTTCCCCCCTTTAAATCGTGAAAATCCAAAAATCCTAAAACACGTCATTATTAATTTGTACTCATTAGCTGCAATTCCAATTTTCATGTTTCTAACTTCAAAGAGAACAAAAAAATCGATACTCTCATTTAAACTTTCACCCCCCGTTTGCGCCCCTTAAAATGTGAAAATTCAAAAATCCTGAAACACGTCATTTATTTATGCTCAGTAGCTGAAATTCAAATTTTCATGTTCCTAACTTTAAAGAACAAAGATTTTCATAAAAAGTTTCCTTCCATTTACCCCCCTTAAAGTTGAAATTTTCAAAAAACCGTTATAAAATAAACCTATGTTCCAAATTTCAGCTTTCTAGACTCAGTAGTTTGGGCTGTACGTTGATAGGTTAGTCAGTCAGTCAGGACAAACAATTTTATATACAGGGTAGCTGTTAAAGATGGAACCATACCTATAGTGCTTAAACGGTTCAACATACAAAACCCAAAATTTCAGAATTTTAACTAAATATATTTGCGCATATTTTAGCCCAAAAATTATTTTTTTTTATAATTACAAAATTTTAAGCATTGCCGCCATCTTGATTTTTTTAAATAGCAACATAGGTCATGTGATATACCATTTGAAAGGGTTTAACATCCTGATTACAAAAATGTATCACACATGGGGTCTAATACAACAGAAAGGATATTATTAATAGGGAGCGTAGGAGGCTGTGAATTTGTGTTTAGACCCCATGTGTGATACATTTTTGTAATCAGGATGTTAAACCCTTTTAAATAGTATATCACATGACCTATGTTGCTATTTATAAAAATCAAGATGGCGGCCATGCTTAAAATTTTGTAATTATAAAAATAATTTTTGGGCTAAAATATGCGCAAATATATTTAGTTGAAATTCTGAAATTTTGGGTTTTGTATGTTGAACCGTTTAAGCACTATAGGTTTGGTTCCATCTTTAACAGCTACCCTGTATATAGATAAACAGTATGCAACACTTACATTTGTTAAAATGTTTTGTATTAGTAACTTTATCCAATATAAATATGTTGGCAAAAAAATATTGTAAGTCAAAACGCGGCGTAAGGTTGAGAGGTTGAGTGACATCGCTTACACATTTGTTTACACTTCCAAATAAACTCCTTCTGCTTATTTCCAAGAATGTTATTAGTAAACACGACTAATACTTATTTATCATATCATTAGTCACCGGTCTAATACAGTCCAGTGTTCTGAGTCCGCTACTGATGTGTTGTGTGTGTAATATTCGAGTTCTCTTAAAAGGTTATCTCTGCGTGCCAAGAAAGGAATAATAATGTTTTATCACTTCCACAAATGACTTAATTCAATTCCTAATACAATGTCTAAATAGTATATAATAGTCAAGAGTTTTCTTTCAGTTCTAATCCGGCCGCTGCGCCGTTGCTTGTGGAGTGCGATATTTTACAAAAAAAAATATTTTTCTCACTTTATTGCATACTCCTGAATTCGGAATTGAAAATTGCACTATCACTTCTATTTTAATTGGATTTTTGAACCAGTGTAGATTATAATCTGTGATTGGAATATTGGAATTTTATTTTGAATCGTGTTCTTTCATTTCGTACCTCATTTTTTCTATATGCTTAAAGGATAGATAGCCAAAATGGTCCAATTAACTTTATGGAATTTGTTTAGGTATGTTTTTTTTTTATTTTAGTTTTTAACCTTCTACAATAATTTTACATTAATAGCGTTATATTATTTGAAGTAGAAATCTAGCTTTATTATTGAGCCCAGAAGCTTGCCCCATCAGAGGGTGTACATAGTGAACGAAATACATAAAGAGTAATTTACCTCGAGTAACATAATATACTATTTATCCTTCAAACGTTAAAATTAAAATAATATATCGGTAGCCCAATCTTAAAATATATTGAAATTCGAGGATAATGGTTGTTATAAAATAAAATTCTTTAAATGCATTTAATTTTATTTCCAAATGAATTTGAAAATCGTAAAAGATTAAGAGCTAAGATTTGGTAGATATTTTTTAAATAAATCATCTATTATCAATAATGCGACTTTAAAAACAATAAAAATAAAAGTTGAAACAATTATAAAAAATAGGTCATGAAATAGTCTATTAACACTTTCACTGCCGACTTGCTGGACTATGTCATCGCGAGAAGCGGACAACTTTTTTTTTAACCGAACTTAAAAGCTTTTGTTTAGTGATGTAAGATATGAGACTTAATTAAAGAAAGTGTTTTTCTGTCAAAATGACATATGACGCTACATCTGCGTCACCGGCCTCTGAACAATTTTTTTTTTGCCAGAGGCCGATGCCGCAAAGTGGCACTAACCTTTAAATGTTAAAAAAATACTTAATTTGGTGTCAAGAACAAGAAACGAAAGTAGTAATAAACAAAAAATAAGAATTACAAAATAAAATCAGTTCCTGTCAAAATGACATATTGTGTCAAAAGCTTAAAATTACGCCCGTATGCACAGTATACGTTTAATCCAAATTAAGGGTTTAATCGCGTTTTCGCCATTTTTAGCTATACACGGAAATAAAAATAATTCTTAATTTGATTTTATTCTAATCCATCAATATCGGAGGATTAAATTATTTAATCGAGATTTTCTAACGTCAAAACGATGTCAACGTTTGGTCAGTATGTTTGGAATTTTCTATTTGTGTTTCTTTTATTATTTTGTTTGAATTTTATTAAAAAACGGAAATAGAATACAAGCTTTTCTTGGAAGATGACAAAGATTTTGGACAAAATTCCGAAGTGAATATTTTTATACGATGGACAACTATGCCATTTTTAAGAGGTTTTTTATATTCTAACGTTACAGCTTAATAATTCTGTAGGTAGATGGCAAATCCAAATGTAAAAATAAGTAAGCAATACATACAGTGTGGAACAGCCAGATGGAATAAATTCGGTAATAAATAAATGGGGGGCGTGTTCGGAAACACGCTCGGACACGTCCATTGGTATTCTTAGTTGCGCTTTTTTAACAAAAACTTTTTATGCAGGGTGTGTCATATAAGAGTGGCCAATTCCAACTTTCTTATTTTAAATGCAACAGCCCATATATTTTTCAATATTGGGATTCTTCAGAAAATTCTAGACATATTTTATATACTAGGTATGTCCTATGCCTAACTGTTTCGGAAATATTAAATGTTTTCCGATTTATTGCAAAAATTAATATTATTAAAATAAAATTATTTGATTACAGAAATTCGTTACAACACACTCAAAAACTAATAAGTAATACTATTTATTTGTTGATAATGTAACAAAAAAAAAACATCTTAATGTAGGAGATGTTCAAAATGCTCGCCGCGAACCTCTTGGCAAAAATGTCTTCTAACGTTACTCAACATCTCAGGCGTGACCAATCTAATCGCAAGCGTTATTCGTCTTCTTAAGCCAGCTAGGTCGAGAGATTTAGTTTTGTATACAATACTTTTGACATATCCCCATAAGAAAAAGTTTAATGATGTCAGATCAGGGGATCGTGATGGCCATTCCATCGATCCTCGCCTCTCTATCCACCGATTTGAAAATACTCGATTGAGGTACTGCCGGACATTGATTTGGTAATAATTATCCACGTACAGTGCATGTCCCTTTCTTCCAATCTATCAGGGTTAAAACCACTTTTTCTGCTTGTTTTTTGCCGCCCAAATAGCCATCGGCCCCAGTGTATAATTTACTTCTTAAAACAAGTCCATTTGGCTCAGCAAGAATGTAGTTTCATACCATATTTATGTTTCTTTCCTTTTATGTACAGTCTAAAATGTGGACGGCCTCGCCACAAAACCGTGGATTCGTCAATGGCCAAATTCTTTTGTGGATAATGAACCTCGGCCATTTTCTGATTAAGATATTCTTACATAAATCGAATTTTTCTGAAGGCGATCTTCAAAACCTGGCTCTCCCTGAGATGGTTTTTGTTAAAGTGCAAACATCTTATAATAAGCAAAAAGCGATTACTGCTCATGTGCTGTTGTAAACAAGGCAAACTGAACAAGTCATCTGTTTTCAAACAGTCTTGCAAAAATCCAAGAAAAATTTTAAATTCGGGCATATCAACTGGTTTCCAAGTTGTTGTGCGTGACTTCTCTCTCGTGGTTTCTTAAAAAAAAACTTGTTGAGCATACAAATTTGTTTGTGTAGTTATGTGATAAAAAGTCATCGGTTACTAACAGTGAACAAAAAATGAAATGGGCCATCTCATGGAACTGGAACAATCAAGCCTGGATTACCACTAAATTCAATGTTTTTTATATCGGGCACATCAGACCATTTTAATATTGAGGGATTGAGCCGTCTGAATATCTAAATCTGGTGTGTCAAAATCAGATCCCGATTTTAATTTTTCTGAGCAAAGAGTACAAAATATAACTATAAAAAAGGAGTCACTCGCCCAATTACCGCCTTCTAACGCGATCAGCCGCCAGTCCTCCCTAGTCCTTTTTCGATCGGCACTATCGGCAGTATACCGGTGTAGTTCAACGCGTAAGGCTCGTTTGCTCCGCAACTTTAGATTCCGCTGTGTATTTTAAGTACTGGCCGTTACATTCCACTATCATCGCCGCGCGCGTCTTACTGCTTAACCCCGGTATAGTCCAAGTAACTCTGTACTCTTTGAAAAAACGCCCACTTGATTTTATTTATATTATATACGCATTTGAAGCGCGATTTCCTTTGTAAATGCCGCGAGTGACTTCTCTTTTATAGTTATATTTTGTACTCTTTGTTTCTGAGTCTGAATCAAAATCAGAAACTTCCAACTCACTGTCATTATCTGAAAATGTTTCCACAAGTTGATCCAACTCCTTGTCCGTCAGTAGTTGTATGTTCTTATTGTTTGTACACTTTCGCTTAGACCTAGATGACTCTGGAATTTGTTAGTCCATCTCACAACCTCAAAATATTACAATCGGAAACCCTTACAATCTATACGTGGTCTAGTACGTACTAAGGCACTCGCCAACGATGCAACAGTCTCCTGCAAAAGCTAACCATCTACTAGGCATTTCATTTAACCATAACGAGACGCGGGTGTTGCCAGTTGCCACATCTGGAAAGTCAAATTCAGATCCGGACTAAGTCTGATTCAAAATCAGAAAGTTGAAACTCATTTTCAATATCCGCAAATGTTTCTACAAGTTGATTCAACTTTCTGTACACTTTTGCTTAGGCCAATATGGTCCAGCAATTTGTTCATCCATTTCATAAGCTCAAAATATTAAAAATCGGAAACCAACAAAATCTACAAGTGGCCTAGTATGTACTAGAGCGGCCGACAACGATACAACAGTCTCCCGCATAGGTTGACTATTTGCTCAGCCTATAAACATAATGAGACAATTACAATCACGTTGAAACCAATTCTCAAAACGATGTAATAACGAAGAAAACGTAGAACTAAAAAACAGGCCGAAATTTCAAATAATATACGCTTCAATATTAGTCCCTCATCTGACTGCAAAAATTGGTATGTCGTGTTTTTTGCTTGTTATTTGTAATGGGGGGGGGGGGGGAGAGTGAACAACATGTACTATGTGGGAGTTGTCGTGTAACCTGTCATATTCAAACTAATATTGCTTATCGGTGAAGTTTTCGTTTTTTACTGATAATGAAATAATTTGCTTCTAGACATCTATAACAATAAAAAAATACATACCTTTGCAAACATTTTCTGTCATCCGATTTTGCTACTTCCGCTGTAGGAAATTCCCTACACTTACACCGCAAGCAGCGAAACCGGACGACAAAAAATGCTTGCAAAGGGATCATCAAAAATCCATCGGTACATACTTACCCACCACCGGGGCATAGTACGTGTTGTTTATCCCCCTCCCCTGTACCTAACTACAAATAGCAAGCAAAAAACATTATGTACCACTTTTGTAACACTAGCTATAGAATATAATATTTTAGTTTTTTGTTACTTTTTTGGAAACAAATGTTGTTGAAATTTTAAAAACGATTTATCGGTTACTCAGTTCCTCGTAGTTGGAATAAGATTCAACCGAATCTAACCAGCTAAGTGAAAAACAAACACAAGTTCGCTTTGTCTTTGTAATACATGAATGGGTATTAGCCACATTTATTGTCTTTTCTCCAGTACGATTTGTCTTCGTTTCGATATTAATTTAAAATTAAAACATTTGTTTTTCTTACTAATTTATTCTGGTTACACTAGATTTTTTTTGCTTATTCTTTTTATCGAAAATCAAAAGTCAAATATTTTAAATCTTTATACTTAGTCAATCTTTGTAATTCTCCTGACTTGCAGGAAATATTTAATTATTCATTTGAAACTAAAGACTATTTACTGGCGCCATATTTTACTAATATTCCTGAAAAATGTTCATTACCTGAACTAGAATTTGTTAAATTCATTAAGGAGGTCCTTTCGCCACCAATGTTAAATAAAAAATATTAGATTAGGACTAAAATTAATTTTTTTCTAATAGTTGAAGTCCTTATTTATCTAATAGTGAACTTTTAACTATACCTTACTGTGCAAATTTTTGAGATTTTTTTTAAAAATGTGAGTATTTGTACAGTGTCTTACGAGAAAGTAAGACCTCAACAATAATTCTCGAATTATACTATTATTTATTGATTAGATGGAGTAGAAAAAAACTAAAAATAAGGATTTTGAAATATTTAGGTTTTGTTTTTTACAATAAAATATACAGGTTACCGTGGAATTTATTGAGTAATTAATGTTAAAAAAAATTTCAAGTAACCTAGTTGAAATTTTTTTTGTGATTTTTTAATATTAAGCTGATTTATTATTTCTCTTGTACAGTGTTGTAAGTCTATTAGTTTATCCTGGAACACTGTTGCATACTCTCCTAGACTCAACGAAATCGTTGTTTTCGACTTGTGTCCATAGATTCCAGCCCGGCTCCTTCCTTAGTTTTGGAACCGTCTGTATACAAGAGGAGCTTAGCCTGTATGGGAGGTTTCTGTTTCCAGAATTCTCGGGCTGATATTTGAATTTGAAAATATAGCGCTATGTAGTTGGATTATTTGGTATTGTCCCTGCATTAACCTGTGAATAACGGACGTTTCTGTAATGAGTCCATGCTCAGTTTGCTTGCCTTTAGTAAATATATAACGTCTATAAATCGCTGAAAATAACGAGTCAGATGAGCGACTATACCTTTTTCTACCTTCTTTACCGATAATTATAGTGCATGCATTCGTTGATTGATCGAAGAACAAACGATTCAACTTGGCCCAGCACGGATTTCATACATTCTATTTGGAAAATAGGTTTGTTTATAAAGTTCAACTGGAGGATAAAATGTGTACCTATTTCAAGAGTACCTGTTATTAAAATATGGCAACATTGATAAATCCCTTTGCACTCTGTCTCTGTAGGATGGACAAAATAAATTTATGAATTTGTCGGGAGTTGATTGCGTTTCGATTGATTTTAATTTGATGTTTTTTCTTTTCTTTTAATAAAAAATATAAAAAAGCGCTTGAGCCATCGCGGGGTACTCCGTAATTCTTTTTTTTTACATAAAATTTAAAAAATAACTACTTTACCTAACCTGTGCGGCCTGGAGCCGTCAAACAAGGTTATTGCTTTGTGGTATGTAGATGCTTTACTCCTATTCCTGACTAAATTAATAAATGGTTCTATCAAGTGCGGGTCACTACTTGAAAGAGTTAAACTATTGTTTTTTTCCCGACGGACTCGGCACTCATCCCTGAACGTAAAAAAACAGAACTAATTACGGACAAAGTGCGTTTATAGATCGCTTGTGCAAGAACTATAATAAATTTTATTCGGACTGATTTAATTGTAATATTTTAGCGTTAAAAAGAGACTTGCGACTCCTGAACATCTATCTTTTACTTGTATCGTCCGGTGGTGTTTTAGTGTTTTTTCCTTTTTAGGACTTCCCACATCATAACCATTAGACCACCGGAGTGATGTAGGTAGTTATATGAACTCTAAATGCAAGCTTGCAAGCCGGTCTTCGACCTGCTGCGTCAGCGCAAGCTAAGTTATTAATATATGTAAAATTCTAAAAATTGTCATTCCTTATTTTTTATCAGAGTAAAACGTTGTAAAGTAAAATAAATTTTTTTAAAAAGTTAATTTTTCATTCTTTACATTTATCTAGGTACATCCAGCGCCCTAATAATTATTATTCTAGGGCATGAAATTCAACTCCAATCCGGTTTTTCGGATATCTCATTTTTTAAGTTACTATTTTAATAGTTCCTCGTCCAAATTAAAAACGATTCAGTTGATTTATATCCGTTATCTCATTTGCAATCATGGAAGATCATTTACAAAACTATAAAAATGCTTTCATCAAATTAGTTTATCAATTTGATTGGATAAAAAGGGTGTGAATAGAAATAGTGGCTAGCGTGACATCATGGTATAAGGGTGCGGGTCGCTTAAAACGCATTGTCACATAATAAAAATGTGAAAATATTTTTATTTAAATTAAATAATGTTAACTAAAAACGTCGGAGGTTTTTGATTTTTTTTACATTTCATAGTAAAACAACTGTATAAAATTATATTATGCACATTAGATGTGAGCAAGGGTTCAGGTCCAGATATGGATTGTCACTTTCCATATTAAAAGCCTGTAGTGTCGTTATATACCATCCACTGCATATTATCTTTAATGTTTTGCTTGATAATGGAATGTTTCCTAATTATTGGAAATCAACTTATATTGTATCAATTTACAAATCAAGTGAGAAATAAAATAAAAAAAAATAATTATTGCTCTCTTCCTTTTTTTAAATCTTGTATGATATGAAAGCACCAAGCAGTAATTTCGAAAATTATCGTAAACATTTTACTTGTTTTTACTGTACATGAATCTTTGAGGCATAGATTCTTTATGTTATGGACACAATCATCATGGCTTAGAAATAGTAGTTTGTGCAACAAGAGTAGATATAATCCACTAACGAACATCTACAAATTTAAAAAATTATTTTAGGTCATTAAGACAAAATAACTAATTTTAAAATAATTTAGGAATTTTATTAATTTATAAAATAAAATAAACATGAATAAAAAAAGATTAATTTAATTAGTCTCCAGCCAAGATTCGAACCCGGGATTTTCGGTTTTTTCTTCAAAATGTGGACCAAATAAAAATAAAAATGCTATTATTTATCGATTCTACACAAAAATAACTCATTTTAATGTATATTTAATCTCAATAACTAAAAAATATACTGATGATTAGTTGACAGAATTCTCACTTATTTAAAATTTTAAAAATAAAAGTTATTGGGTGTCCAAAATATGAACTGTGATTGGATATGAAATATATTTGTTAGGTTGAAAACTATACAGGGTGTTCCATCTCAGACGAGCCACCCCATATATTTCTTGTGTTTCGGGAAATTTTTCCAATTACTATGGGATAAGAAATATACTTTTTCTACACCCACATGGATATTAGCTTATTTACACACAGATTAAAAAACGAAAAAGTATGCTATTGCCTTCAACTGAACGAATATATTTCATATCCAGTGAGAATACTGCAAAAAAATGAAATCCACCAATCACCGTTCATATTTTGATCAACCAACTGCTATTATTTTTAAAATTTTAAATAAGTGACAATTCTGTCAAACTAATTGTCAGTATATTTTTTAGTTATTGAGATTAAACATAAATTAAAATGGATTACTCCTGTGTAGAATCGATAAATAATAGTATTTCTGTTTTTATTTTGCCTATCATTATAAATAATTTGATAATTTAAATAAAACTATATGAAGTCAATTTAATTACGAGTATTAAAGCAACAAAAATAAAAGAATAGGTGGTAGCGTTCTTGCCTTCCACACGGGAAGACTCGAGTTCGATTCTCGGATGGGGAAAAATGAAATCAACTTTTTTTTGTTTATTTTATTTTAAAAATTATTAAAAGTCATAAACTATTTTAAAATTAGTTATTTTGTCTTAATGACCTAAAATATTTTTTTATTTGTAAATTTTCGTCAGTGGGTCGTAGAAAAAATTACAGTACAACTCGAGTGGATTGTCCACATATCCACTCTTGTTGCACAAACTATTTTCGTTTTGTAGTCGGTGTGTAAATGTAGGTGTAGAAAAAAGCATATTGTAACGATTGTTTAATTTAAAAATATTTTAGTTATTTAAAACAGTTTATTTATAATTTATTTACACCAATTTTTAATTAATTTATTTAGACTTAAGCACTATTATAATTTATTTAACAATTCACTTATATTAAATTATATCATATTTACTATATCGATGTTCTCACTGCTATGACTCGACTTCGACTGATTCACTTGTGCACCACCCACGGCCCATTTATATATAAATTGGTGTATGCGCTAGATTGTTTTCACCATTTATTAGACAGGCGTCTCCGGCAGTTTCTCAAATTTACTTCTAGTACATTCCCGAATGAATGATTCATAACGGCTATCTGTCACCATAGTCGTCATTATAGTTGGTTTATTTTTTTTAGATTTATTTTATAAATCAGTAAAAATCATAAATTTAAATATTTTTGTTAATTATTTTTAAAATAGCTATTTTATCTTAACCTCTAAATTAATATTTAAAATTTCATGATTTTATTCAGTGTGCCGTAGAAAATATTTATTGTACAACTCGAGTGGATTCACTGTGTCGCAATCTGTTTACGGTGTCGTGGTCAAATTTCGTCTTCGTGCGATATGACCATCAAATCCACTCTTGTTACACAAACTACTATTATTGTGTTCCATTTGGAGACAAACGGCCGTAGAAAAAGTATAATACATACATAAAGGTGTAGATCATTTACACACTAAAAAGTTTTACAGCTCTTATGGATAATTTTTATAAATTTTGTTACGTATTATACTTTATACTTTGTTACAGGTTAGGTGCAATGGACAGCTTGCATGTAAGCTTACAACATACAGGAAGTAAAACTTCTAGCAGAAGCGCCTCACCTTGTAGACCAAGAGACCAGGTTTTACAACAACAACAACAACAACAGCAGCAACAACAACAGCAACATCAGCCTTATCATCCGCACCATACCAAAACGCTCAGCCACGGGTCAGCCGATAGTTCAAGGGTATGTACATTACAGTGATTTAAAAACATCGAATTATAGACTGACATTGAATTATAGACTGATAATCGTTACTCGTGTAATCTCTTGCTGTAAGTAAAGCATTTTTAGTCGCGTCTCAGTAACAGGATTGAATTTTAAATCTTGAGAACTCTTTAATTTTTTTTTGTCATGGGCTCCCCGTCTATTAGTAAACGTAGCGATTATTAAATTAAATGTAACTATCAGAGATTAGAATCAGGCCCGGAAAGAGAAAATACGGGCCCTGGAGTGCAACTTACAACTTCTCTTTGAAAATATTTTTCAGTACAACAAAAAAATATGTGTATGTGACAATCCTTTTTTATTACAACACACACCAATCAAAACAAACTGATTTGAACACACTGAATGGTGCAGTATTTTCACTGAATCCTGCGAAACGTCAATGTGAAGTTTGTCAAAAAGAGTTACAGAGTACAAAATCGACATCACTTTCGACTTCATCTTACGAAAAAAAAGCAAATGTTTATAAAAGTTCTCTTTATTATACTCTTCACACAGTAGTCTGTGAAAAGTAATATTGGTTCGTCTGATGTCACGTTTTTTGACCACACGATAAGTCAAAAACAAAAAAATAATATCAACTTGAAAATTTCAGGAAAAATCAAGCTCCATAAGAGGACAAAGCCTATTGATTTTGTAAAAATCTGATTGAAAATGGGGGTTCATGGGGGGTCTGTTAAAATGTGAAGAGTATAATATACAATGCCAAGCATTATATATCTTCATTCTAGTATTGTTAAATCATTTTGCCAAATACCACGCTAGGTGAGAATATTTTTTTTCTTATGCAAATTTCAAACAACAAAATGTTCTCAAAAAATTCTTATCTTTTGTGGTATTATCTTTGATAATCCGTATTTAACCGATTTAATCTGCCCACTAACCCACAAAAATGTTACTGCAACAACTCCAAAATTCGAATTAGAGAAAACACCAGATCTTTTCGTTTTGAGAGTCCTACGAACCCAAAAAAGTAGTTTGCGCAACAAGAATGGATATGATTGCCATATCGCACGAAGACAAAATTTGAGCACGACGCCGTAGGCCGTAGGCGGAGTGCTCAATCGTCTGAGCGCGATGTGGACAATCCACTCGAGTTGTACAGTATATTTTTTCTACGACCTACTAACGAAAATTTACAAATAAAAAAAACTTAGGTTATTAAGACCAAATAACTAATTTTAAAATAATTTATGACATTTAATAATTTTTAAAATAAAATAAACGAAAAAAAAAAGATTTTATTTAAAAGTCCCCAGCCGAGGCTTGAACTTGGGTTTCTCGCGTGGAAGGCAGATACTCTCAGATTTGGGAATTTTTTTTAATACTCGTAATTGAATTGATATCATTTTATTAAAATTAACAAATTATTTATAATTATAGTATAAATAAAAATAGAAATGCTATTATTTATCGATTCTACACAAAAATAAGTAATTTTAATGTATATTTAAGTTAATAACTAAAAAAATATACTGACAATTAGTTCACAGAATTGTCACTTATTTAAAATTTTAAAAATAATAGTCGTCGGGTGACCAAAATATGAACTGTGATTGGTGGATTTCATTATTTTACAGTGTTCTCACTACATAGACTGGATATAAAATATATTCGTTCAGTTAATACCAATAGTATAGGTACTTTTTCGTTTTGTAGTCTGTGCGTAGACAGGCTAATATCCATGAGATTGTAGAAAAAACATATTTTTAAAAATGTCCGGATCTACCTATGAGCGTAAAATTTTTTGTTAGCCCCAACTATCCTACCGATTTCGATGGGAATTGGAACATAGGATGTCCAGGGGCATCTGAAAAACAGATTAGAATTTGGACATAGTCGGAGGCAATTAGGGGGTACTTTATAGGTTATTTTCTTACTCTTTGGTTTATTTCTGTTATTTATAATTCTAGAAGAAAATTCTTTGAATAAACGTTTTTCGCAATTAGGCATTCCAACGACCTGTCGAAATGCTGACAAGTTGAAACTGACAGTTTAGATATGGCAAACTTGTGGGCTTGTTGTCATTGATGCATATATAGTTATATAGATTGCAATATTGTTTCGCAAGTGCCCATTAATCAGAATCGGTTTAGCAAAAATATGTTTACAAACCAATTTTCAGCCTTTGAATTATAGTAAATAAAATAATCTCTTACATTTTTACTTCAAGGCATAAGCTTATGTTTATTTTGCAAAACATGGATGATCAATCTATATAACTGTCTATTCATTGACCCTGCCAAACCTGTCTAAACCCACTGGTAGCCATTTTGTTTGGAATGCCTATTATCATTATATTTTTTTTTCTACGCACACATGGATATTAGCTATTCTACTCACAGAATTCAAAACTAAAAAGTAGGTCATTGGGTTTAACTGAATGCATATATTCTTCCATTCTACCTACTAAGAACACTGCACAAATATAAAATCCATTAATCACAGTTCATATTTGGTCACCAGACAACTATTAGGCATTCCATACAAAATGGTTGCCCATGGGTAATGACAGGTTATGATATGGCAACCCACAGGTTGTGGTGATTTGACAGGGTCAATGATATAAAATATAGATAGTTATATAGATTGATCAGGTATAATATACCTTTCTAAACACTGAATTTTTTTTAGCTATATCTCTACTGAGATCTATATTCTGTCATTATGAACCCCCAATATTTTGGTGTCCAGCTGCCACTTTATTTAAGGTAATACAATTAATATAAACCGGTCCGAGTTATTCAATTTTCTACTCCGAAAATACCCAGAAATAAGAATTTGAGCTTAAAATTTGATCGTCTGGCCAAAAATAAAAATAACATTTAATTCGGTTTTTGTGCTCTTTTCAAATATGAAAATTCGAATGTACAAGATGTTGTTTTGAGGGTGAAAGTATTAGGAATTTTTAGTCGAGCTGGCCTGGACTTTGCCACTTTTTTATACGTCTGTATATTCGATGGTATGGATGGCAAGTGTACCAAACGTCAAAATCTTCCAGGCTGTTCCCAAGTTATGAATAAGGAAAGACATAATTGATAAAACACCCTGTATCTCGATTATAAACGGCCAAAGATCCATTAAATAGGGGTTATTTAGAATCGTCACAGTTAACGTATGTCTGTTTCCCAATGACTAGGTTCTTTCGTTCGCTGTTGGAGCAGTGTCCACTAGTGTAAATTACACCAGTAGTTACACCACCTTTATTTACCTAGTTTACTTCCTCCTTATTCCTGATACACATGTCGAGTGTAATTTACTCCTGCTAAATAGCTGGTGAAGAAAATATCCACCACCACATCGGCGACAGGAAGGCGTAGTGGATTTTACACCGAGCCAAACGAAAGGTATGGTGCGCGTTGGTGTAGTTCATTCCTACATCAGAGAGAAAGAATCTACTAACTCTATATCTATTATACCCTGCAAGAGAGATGTCTGTCACGCAAAATTTATGGCACCGCCATTTGTAACTAGTTGCACTCGCTCCGACTATTCGATATTTTATTAATTTTTATTACAATTTAAATAAGGAAAATGTGCTCTTAATGGATGTACTTTTTATATTTAAATAAAATTAAAGATATAGTTATCAATTAATCAAAAAGCTTTATTGTCGAAAGAATACAATTCGTATGTACAAAGCAGCCGTAAATACTAATAATAAAACTATATTGAAGATATTTAATGCTTTGCATTCTATATTATACTCTTCACAGTTTAACAGACCCCCTTAACCCTAATTTGTATTCAGATTTTTTCAAAATCAATAGTCTTAATAGATCGTTTTTATTTCTGAGTTAGAATTGTTATAATATTTCAACCCCCCTTAACCCCTATTTTAATTCCAATTTTTTTTAGAATCAATAGGATTTTTACTAAAAATTTCATGTTGGTATCGCTTTTCGTTTATGATTTATGATTTTTTTTTGTTTTAATTTCAATCCTCCTTATCCCCTCATTCGGTCTGGCAGAAGATACCTTTTGCAGCTTCTGCCAGCAAGAGGGGGAAACTGCAGTATACGTTTTGTGCTACTGTGTAGGTCTGCACATATCCATAACAATCAGATGATAATTTTTGTCAAGGGTAATATACCAAGACCTTGATAATAGTCAGCTATTTTTGTTGAAACTAAATCTCGAGAATATTTTAATATCAATTTTTGGCATTAATCAATTGATTATTAATGCTAAAATTATGTAGAATCAAATTGAAAAATGTTCATGAAATTTAGCAACAACAAAAATAGCAGTATATTAATCAAGGTCGTGTTATATTTAGGACGACTATTTCACTTGACCAAATATTGACTATTTCTCTAGAGAAATAGTACCCGATATTTGGTCTAGGAAAATAGTCATATTTATTTAAATAAAAAATATATAAATGAAAATTTCTTGACCAGTAAATCAAGTTGACAACTTGTTTTTAATTGATACTAGAAAATATGCCATGAGAGGATTTTTGTCGCTATATGTGTCGCATAACGTATAAATAATATACACAGTGAAATACTCGGTGAAATGTGTCAAACTTTCTTACCCAAGTTCTAATTAAGGGGAGGAGGGTAAGGTTAATCCATGCAAAAAAAAGGCACATTTTTGTGAATTTTTTTTGACGACAGTTAAAATCTGTTTGTTTAAACTAATGGTACATTAAAGTATAACATTCAAAGAATATTGTGTCAAATTTTCATGTAGAAATAATAAATAATACGGAAATGGTAACAATTATTCGGAAGCGTCTCGGAAGAAAGTAGAATTGCAGTGACCCTCCTAACTCGGTGCTGGATCATCAGTAATAAAAAAATCAACGTTATATTTTGTAAAGGTAATGTCATTAAACAGAAGGTATTAAGTAAATGTACATAAATAACACATTTTTTATTGCAGCAGTGACACAATCAATCTAAAAAATGATCATTAAAATCACTCACAAAATACTGAAATAAAAAGAAAAA